CCTTAATAGTTAACAACATATACATTCTTATAAACATCATTTTGTTAGAGAACTAAGAAGTACTCCTAAACGATCATTTTGATAAAGACCATAACCCAAAACGATCTAACTAATAGACTACACGGATTTCATCACAATAATGGAAAACCGTTGGACTGCAACAATTCGAGACTGATTGAAATAAAATAAGGATATATATGGGAGAATGAAGCCAATCATATATTCATGAGAAACAAACTGGTTGATTAGTACACTAAATCCAGACCATGTGCTTGTATTTTGTAAGTTCACCATATCGAAATTTTAAAATCAGAAGAAAAAAACCTTCTAAAAATACATGAAACAAATATTTTAAGTCAAAGCCCTTACAATTAAGAGGCACACAGATCATAATGCCACAAAGCTGGCTTGCACAACAACAACCCCAAGATATCAACAAAAGAGCCATAGATTCAATGCAATGTATACCCTCCATGGAAAAAATTCTGATCCCCTGTCTCTTTCTATCTGATCTTGATTATCCATATTTTCTTTTATTATATGTGATTCTTGTGATTGAGTCCTGTGTGGAGGTTTTTCATTGGTTCATGACAAGTTCGAGCAAATTTCAAATCATAAGCCATTTCTGGTGTTCCATAGCTCACCTGTCATCATCCACGACTTACCTGTCACCCAAGCGAAATCAAGCAATTCAGATGCATTGATATCTCATTCTCACCCACCATTCTATTTAAAATCTTGATTCTAAAACCAAAAAATTTGGAGATGATTTGTAAAGCTAAAACCTCCATGACTACAAGTGAACAAAATAAAACCAGTATGGATTTGTAAAATGTGATGAAAATGTTAAAATAGTGAACTGAAAAGCAAAAGAAGTACTTTGGTATATAATAACATTTCTTTTATGATTCCTCCTTATCATGAAAGAAATGTACAGAGACAAGTACAACTAGCTGTACCTGGACTTGGAGTCATGAAAAATATTAATGTCATAAATGTGAACAGGTTTGGGAGACTAAATGCAGAAACAAGGTACTACGGAAAATAAGATCTGGGAATTATTTAGTTTAATCAATGAGCCACTATCGAAGCCACATGGGTATTGTGATAAGCTTTGGGGACAAAGTTTGCATGATATGCTTTAACTATAGGCAGAATATTAGCTGGATATAACACTAGTCATTTTGACACAATAATCTCTCTAAACGATTCAGTTTCGAAAAACATGTTTCATGCATGAATCTGTAAGGCACTAGAGACATGATGACTCTGTGTTAGAGATCTTCGTAGACAAAGACTGGCTATGTTTGGTTTCAATAATTCTGACAAAAAAAAAGAAACAGAAAAGGACCATAAATAACGAGTTTGAAATGGGCTTATTTGAACTTATCCGCATAGTCTGGGCTCAATGGATCCTCTGACTCGTTCAGAAGGTTTTTCTTTTGGAGGAAGACAAGTATCTAATTTCCTAACGTCGAAGATCAGTATAAACCCTGACTTGATTTTTTTTTTTTTCTTGGATGAAAAAACTCTGACGTAATTCTAATGTAAGTGATGTAATACATCCATCAAAGAAAACAGATTTGCAGACTAGCGTTAGTTCATGTAAAAGGTATGTTAAATATGGACTTTTCTTTTTGGCCAAACAAGATAAACCTGATTATATTATATTCTTGGTATTTGCTTGCTTACGATTGGAACCCATCAACACACGATTAATAAGTGAAACAGGTAAAATATTCAGCTCTAAGATAAGCATCCAGTGCTCGTAAGACGATTATAGCTTCAATATAAATTCACAGAAAAACACGTTTAGCACAAATGTTATTCTTTTCTTTATATATATTCAATCCCAATAACCGAATCAATTCTTGTTTGTAAAAATATTAGTTCTTAATTTGTTAAATTTATGTTTAGAAGCATAGTTAACACATATAGACAAAAGTAGATTGATGGAACCGCCAAGTCCATGTCCATTTTTGTGGAATGTGGACGTACTCTTCCATTTTTCCAAGCTACGTAAAACCGAAGATAAACTAATTACTCATGACGTGAACTTACGTTGTTGGTTTCACAAGCAACCTAAATTGTAAAGCTAAAGATACATTTGCTCAAATGTTTAAAAAGCACAATTGTTACCAAAGCATATATAACATATATGCGTGTAGATAAAAACCTTATTAAAATATAAACTTTCCAAGTTTTCCTAAAACAAAACTCTATGGAAGAGACCAACACCAGATTTCACCCTAGACACGTTCTTGAAGAATCTCCAACAAAGCACATGGGTAAAGATTGCAATCTTTGTGGAGAGATGTTTATTATCGAGTCCCAGTTTTATTACTGTCGACTCTGCCAATTCCTTATTCACAAAGAGTGTGTGTGACTACTTTGATGTTGTCGAATTTCACAATAAATCACCCTAAGATCCACGAGCATACACTTAACTTCATTCAGCGAAAGAACTCTTTCATCTGCGATGCTTGTGGAAAGTTCGACAAGGGACGAATGAATATGTATGCATGTGTGGGATGCGATTTCTTTGTCCACAAAGAATGTATCACCTTACCCCCAGGGTTATAAAAATCACACGTCACCCACATCGTCTCTCTCACACTTTTTGTATCACTGATGAAAATCTTCCTTGTAAAGTTTGTCACATGGATCTGCAAATGGGTTATGGAGGATATACATGTATTGACACGATATGTAATTATGCTGTCCATTCATACTGTGGAACGAGGAGGGAGGTGTGGGACGGAAAAGATGTTGAAGAAGAACCTGAAGAAGAAAGCAATCCTGAAGGCAATTAAGGGGTAAATTATGTCAAGCATGCATCCTTCCGATTGATTTTGGTAATTTCTTGGGTTGCAAGCAATGCGACTTTGCCCTCCACGACATATGTGCAAGTCTTCCTCGTAAAATGGAACACATGTTACATCGCCATCGGCTAGCTAACCCTACAAGTCAACATGATGATGAGAGTAAAAAAAGGGTTCTTTACTTGTTCTACTTGCAATCAAGACTCATGTGGATTCATGTACCAGTGTTGCTTAGAGGAATGTGGGTTTAAGATAGATGTAAAGTGCGCTTCTTTTGCCGAACGACTCAGAACCTCTTTTTCTAAAACAATTTGATGATGATCATGAATTGCCCCTAAAATGTCGTGCATGCTACCAGTCCTTTAAGACGATGGCAATGGATAAAAGTTTCTACATCTTCGATTTCAAATGTGTAACACTACCGGGATTGGCAAGATACTAGCACGACACTCATCCACTCACCTTATATCGTTTTATAGGACGGGAGTGGTGCGAGGTCTGTGAAAAAAAAAATCGCAAAGATAGTTTCTTCTACACTTGCAAGGACTGCTTTACTGCTGTTCATGTTGAATGCATATTTGGGAAGCATCCTTATTTAAAACCTGGCTGTAACATCAATATGAATGGTCTTGGGTTTCAAATTATTTCAAACAGTGGTACTTCTTGTCCCATTTGCCATAGATGTCGCTGTCTCTGCCAAGACAAAATAGTTTTCCTTAATGGGGGCGATAATGTATGTTTCTGTTCTATTAACTGTACTCGTTTTACCTGATGAATGTAATGTGTATACTTTAATAGAGTAAAAACGATGCATGCAGCATGCGAAGGTTGTAGAGCTTGGGGGCGAATAAATGATAAGGTCCTTACAATTTTAAACATGTAAAATCTTTAAACTGAAACATTTCGTCACCGATCTCTTTTTTTTTTTTTTTTTTTTTTTTTTTTCATTCTCCTTTTACGAAATTGTACATCTACTGAATGAGATGCCAAGAAGAAGAATGTTATACATCTGGTCAATGATATGAATCCAACTTTCTTTTTTTTTTGCTAATTTTAGTTTCACTTATATTTATGCTATCGTATATAAATCACAACCAATAAAAATATGGATATTGTAACTATCCTGTAAGAAATAATTTAAAATATATAAATTAAAAAAATAACACAAAATTCTTGAGTCACTGGTACACTGTTTAATGTAACACTAGCTCTTGATTCGTGCTTGAGAAGCACGGGATGTTGTAATTTTTGATTAAAAAAGTTATGTATTCATATTATAGTTATGTGAATTATTGTATGTTTGTGATATATTGATGAACTAATACGTATTTCTATTGATAAAATAAATATGTGAACATTAATTTTTGGGCTATATATTATATTTGGGCTTATTGGGCTATAACGGTACAAATGATGGACTTTTGTTGGTAAGAAATTATTATCTTCATGATATAATTTTTGTTTTAACTTCCAACATGTGTAGTGTTTACGTTGATGAGACTGATAGTTATAGATTTTGTCGGTATTATTAATTTAATTTTCACAATCACTACATTAAATTTTGATGTGTTGTCGACCGAACGATATAAGTGAATCAAAATTTTTCAATCTGAAATTAATCGTGACCAGTACCAATGAAACCTACAATAATATCTTCTCAATTTGATACATTCTTTCTAAAGTTGTCCATGAGATATGTTCAAGTCAACATTTCAAATTTCGGTTTTGATCATAGTATAGATGCATGCCCATTGTATAAAGCAAGGCATAGTTACTTTACTTTTCTTCCAAGCCATCTTAAAGCCAACGATGCCTTTATTCCACAATGATGAATTCTCTATAAATGTCACGAATGTTCTCTATCTTATAGTATGAGTAAATATTCAAATGTCCTAATATTAACAAAACAAACCCCCTATGGAGGACATCACCACCACGTTTCATCAGAAACATTTTCTTGAAGAGTCTAGTCACTTTAATAAAACCTATTCTTATTCTGGTGGTTATAAAAGATGCATTATTTGTGGCGAGTTTGTCACTTATTACTCCGCGCATTTTCATTGTCGTGTATGTGATTTCCGTTTTCACAAAGAATGTCCGACCAATTCGCTGGAGTCAAATCTGACAACAAATCGTCCAGATCGAGACACATGAGCATACGCTCACCTTCATTCGCAAATGAACTCTTTCAACTGTGATGCTTGTGGGAGAGTCGATAACTGGAAGATGGATATGTACGGATGTTTGCAATGCAATTTCTCTGTCCACAGAAAGTGTATATATTTGCCAAAGGTCATAAAGCTCACCCGTCACTCACATCGCTTGGTCCATACTTTTCAAGTCCGTGATTCGAAAACGTTTTGCGGAGTCTGTAAGGAGCTGTTTGTTTATGAATATGGAGTGGAGGATATATTTGTACTGACAAGACGTGCGGTTACAAACTCCATTCATATTGTGCGACGCGTAGAGATATCTGGGACGGCAAAGACGTCCAAGGAGAAGATGAAGATATTAGTAATTCTGAAGATGTTGTGTCGTCATCGTTGGTGGTGGTAAATGGCAAGACGACTATCCACCATTTCAGTCATCAACATGACCTAATGAACTTTGCATCAACGATGATGATAACGAAGATGAACGTAGATGCCAAGCATGCGTCCATCCCATCGAGTTTGGCAGTTTTTTCGGTTGCAAGGAATGTGATTTTGCACTCCACGACACATGTGCAAGTCTTCCTCGGAAGATGGACCACCTTTTTCACCGCCATCCGCTAGTTCTACAGGTGAACATCAAAGAAGGGTTCTTCACTTGTTCTAAATGCGAACGGGAGTCATGTGGTTTCATGTATCAGTGCAATAAAAAAGAATGTGAGTTTAAAATGGATGCAAAGTGTGCTTCCTTTGCTGATATATTACACCACGAATCTCACCAACACCCTCTTACTCTAGTACGAACCTATGGAGGTTGTAAGGAATGCAGCTTCTACGTGGAATTCAAAAGCCTAACTTTACCAGTGTTGGTAAAATGCAAGTATGACACCCATCCACTTACCATATGCTATTCAAAAAAATCTCACATTATGGATCAGTGTGGTGTGAAATCTGTGAAGTAAAAATAAACCAGCAGTATCCGGATTATCAGGATATCTATGGCTGCGCCAAGTGTAACACCACTTTGCATGTTGAGTGCGCAATAGGGAAGTACCCGTATTTGAAACCTGGCCGTACGATCAAAGTGAATGGTTTTGAGATTGAGATTGCATCCAACAGTATTTCTCGGCCGATATGCCATGCATGTCACTCTATCTGCCAAGACAAATTAGTTTTCAAGAATAGGAGAGATGATGTCTCTTTTTGTTCTATCAACTGCATTACCTCTTCTTACAAAACCAGTCTGCAATCATAATAATTCTACTCGTGTATGTGTATAATAACTATTAAAAGTCAGTATCCATTATATGACTAATAAAATTTGCTTTGCTTTCAGTTCATTTTTTAAAATAAACTACCATCTTTCTTGCTTAAAATGTTGAACCTTCACAAGTTTTTACATACAACGTAACGAAAGTTGTCAGATAGCCTTAATTTAGCACACATAATTGTAATTATAATCATTTAACATATGTTATTCCATTCCACCAGAACGTTATAGAAACAGATGCCGTTGACAAAAAAAAAAAATGTCCTTTTACCAAGATTTAATTATCGTTCAAAATTATTCTGAAATATCCAAATTATCCATTTAGCTAACCAAAAGTTTAAAATTATCTTAAATTACTAGAACTATTCAAAAGTACTTGGATCACTCGTACACGAAAGAATTCGATACGAGTGTAAAGTGTAAACACATTTAAACCATCTTCATCTCTAGAACCATTTTTTTTTTGTTTTTAGCAATTTTTAATTAATAATTTATATTAAATCTGTGTTAAAAACTTTTTTGTGGGATGTTAATTTTTTTTGAAGAAGTAAAAAAATTAGGAGCGTAAAAGTAAAAAAAAATGAATTTTGAATGATTGGACTTTATTGGGTTTTACACTTTTACTACATCGAAAACCATCTAAACCTGCCAAATTGACAAAACCGGGAATCGTACACTAACCGAGAATCATGGAGAATGTCGACCGTCCGATGGTTCGTGGAACAGATCAACGATGGAAATTTAAATCCGCTTTGGTTTTGGTTGGGCCAGGCCCATGATAATTAATTCGGTTTGAAAATACATTCGTTCAAGACTCAAAGAGTATCAGGAAGAAGATTTAACTCTTCGCAAAACTTTGATTTCCCCCAAATTGCCTTTCCCTCTCACTCTCGCTCTCTTTTGTGAATTCTCTCTTCGCAAAAAAGCAGAGTATCGGAGGAAGAAGATGGGGCTCATCGCAAAACTTTCCCCAAATCGCTCTCTTTCTTTTCGATGAATTCTCTGAGGTAATTACTCTCGATCAACTCTTTGACCATTTGTAAACGGAAAAGTCCGTTTCTTTTCTCTAGATTGTTCAATTTTCTTAGGATTTGATCTTATTTAGGGTTTTCGTTTCTGAATTTGATTCTCCGTGAAACTGATGCGATCGATTGCGTTTTTCCCTCTTCCTCTTCGCGATTTTGTTTCAGGGTTTTCAAGTCTCCTAATTCTTCTTATAGAATCGTATGCGGGTGATCTTGGACTGAATCAACCCGGAGGCTTGAGTCCGTGTGAAACCCCATCATCGAACCGAGGTATTTCTCTTTCTAAATTAGGGTTTCCTGATATGTTGGTTTTTTTTGTAATCATCTGCATAATTGGGTTTTCTATTTTTGGCTACAAACGCATATGATCTGTTCTCGTCCATGAGATTCGTGTTTATGCAATTGAAATCGACGGTGTCTTAGGATTTTTGAAAATAGGATGTGTTTTACAGAAAGTCAACAATTTACACATGGGCTTTACTCGTATAACAAATAGATCTTGATTATGATTAAGAAAGGAACCTTCTTTGGCATCAAGTCATACATTTCTCTGCCTGATCAATATTATGCTTGCGACTCTTTACAGTTTCTTTGTTCTGCATTGTTGCAGGTAATCCTATTCAGAGATGAGCTAATAAAGAAGTAGCAGCAGCAAACAGATAAGCTCTTTTCCTTTCTCTTTTGCTGGTTTAGAGAAAGACTATGGGATTGTTGCGTGGAATGGAAAAAACGCTTATAAAAAGGCTTATTTAAAAAGAGTTCAAGACAAAGTGAACAACCGAAAGAGTCAAACCCAAAAAAGATATCAGGCAGACACTAATCTAATAGTGTCCTGTCATATTCTTATTTTGGTAACATTGTCCCGTTGCCTCAAGATTGTGATGGGAAATGGCTGGTAGTGCATGTCTAAGGAAGGATGGGAAATAAGACACGGCTTAAAAGTCTAGTGAAAGACTATGGGATTGTTGCGTGGAATGGAAAAAACGACCACGGCTTATGAAAGGCTTATGAAAAAGGGTTTAAGAAAAACACTAGAACAACTGAAAGACCCAAAAAGATATCAGGCAGATACTAATCTAATAGTGTTCTGTCATATTCTTATTTTGGGAACATTGTCCCGTTGCCTCAAGGTTGTGATGTATGGGCTGGTAGTGCATGTCTAAGAAAGGATATAAGGGGATGGGAAATAAGACGCGGCTTAAAAGTCTCTATGGGTTTGTTGCCTGGATTGGAAGAAACGACCACGGCTTATGAAAAAGTCTTTTAGACAAAGAGAAACAACTGAAAGAGTCTTTGGAACCCACAGCTTTAGTGAAAGTAGTGAATCCATTGATGGCTAAGTACCCTCGGCTTATGAAAGTCTTAAGACAAAGACTGAACTGAAACAGATTCACTACTTCACTACTAGTACAAAAAGTCTTTAAGACTATAAATTGGATGGAGAAAGTGACAAACGGTTAAGATAAGGCTTGAGGGCAAAGACTTGTTATTGTTTGATAACAAAGGAAGTTTGGGGATGCAAAAGAAAAACACACGACAAAGACTAGAACTTAGAACAACTGAAAGAGACTAGACTTATGAGAAAGTCTTTTAGACAAAGAGAAGAACACCTGAAAGAAAAAAAGTCTTATGACTAGAACTTAGAACAACTGAAAGAGACTAGGCTTTTGAGAAAGTCTTTTAGACAAAGAGAAACAACTGAAAGAGTCTTTGGTACCCACGGCTTTTTGTGAAAGTAGTGAATCCATTGCTGACTAAGTACCCTCGGCTTTTGAAAGTCTTAAGACAAAGACTGAACTAACACAGATTCACTACTTCACTACTAGTACAAAAAGTCTTTACGACTATAAATTGGATGGAGAAAGTGACAAACGGTTAAGATAAGGCTTGAGGCAAAGACTTGTTATTGCTTGATAACAAAGGAAGTTTGGGGATGCAAAAGAAAAACACACGACTTAAAAGTCTTTAAGACAAAGACTAGAACTCAGAACAACTGAAAGAGACTAGGCTTATGAGAAAGTCTTTTAGACAGAGAAGAACAACTGAAAGAAAAAAAGTCTTAAAGAAAAAGAGTCCTTACTTACACACGGCTCAAAAAAAAAGTCTTTAAGACAAAGACTAGAACTCAGAACAACTGAAAGAGACTAGGCTTATGAAAGAGTCTAAGAACAACTGAAAGAGCCACACTTTAATTTTGTATCCACGGCTTTAGTGAAAGTAGTAAATCCATTGCTGCCCTCGGCTTATGAAAGTCTTAAGACAAAGACTGAAACCGATTCACTACTTCACTACTTGTACAAAAAGTCTTTAAGACTATAAATTGGATGGAGAAAGTGACAAACGGTTAAGATAAGGCTTGAGGGCAAAGACTTGTTATTGCTTGATAACAAAGGAAGTTTGGGGATGCGAAATAAAACACAGAGTAACTGAAAGAGACTAGGCTTATGAGAAAGTCTTTTAGACAAAGAGAAGAACAACTGAAAGAAAAAAAGTCTTAAAGAAAAAGAGTCCTTACTTACACACGCCTCACAAATAAAAGTCTTTTAAGACAAAGACTAGAACTTAGAACAACTGAAAGAGACTAGGCTTATGAGAAAGTCTTTTAGACAGAGAAGAACAACTGAAAGAAAAAAATTCTTAAGAAAAAGTCCTTACTTACACACGGCTCACAAATAAAAGTCTTTAGAAAACTGGGTCAGTTTAAGTCTAGAGATATAGACTATGAACCGTAAACTATATAGTTACTATCACCACAAGGCTTAACGAAACCTTAAGACACAAGACAATGAATGGTAAACTAAGTCTTGACAAACACAAAAGAACGATCAAAGGCTGGAAATGTTTTTTCAGACAAAGACATTGTTGGATGGAAAAGACGACCAAATATGAGATTATGAATAAAAAACGGATTCATATGATCTGTGCGTGAAAGTGACAAGGTAAGTATGAAACATTTAACATGAAGTAAAGACTAATTAATTCTTATTTTCTCAGGTATGTGCTTCAGAAGGTGTTCTGTTTGCTAGAGACTTTGAGGAGATTTCAAGTGTAGAAGACTTCTTTAACAGGTATGTGCTTTTCAAACTTGTTTGTAATTTTAGTTGATACAATTATTAAAATCACGTGGAGACACATATGTGAACTAAAGACTACTTCATTTGTTCATGTATGTACGTCAAAACCTGTTCATATTCTCATTCACCCAAAGGAGAGTTCATATTCTCATAGAAGCCAAAGAGATTTCTCATTGTAGCGAAAGCATGTGATAAGGTATAAGCTTTTCGGAACTTTTCTGCATTAAATTTATATTATTACATATGAGAATCGTAAATTAAGTTAAGTAATATATACACGTACAGATGCAAATACCGATTTAAGTGCCATTCAACATTGTTAGAAATATTTAGATATGTAAATCACAAACAATGTGAAGTGATATACGTATAGGTAGAGAAGTACTGATCAGACCGACATTTATAGTTAGAAATATCTCTTATATAGCTGTCTTGATAACATTACTAACAGTCTATCATTGATCTTGTCTTTCTCAGCTTCTAGAAACTTATTGCTAACATATCCATTGATAAAAATATAGATATTACATTTGGTAGACACATTAGATTGTGTGTTTATTGTGTGATCAATCTCTGTCTTAATTATACAAGCTTACATGTTTAAATTCTGTTTTGGTGCTTGTATGTATCATAAATAGATGTGTCTTGTCGTCTCCTAAAGATATTTATTTTGAATGCAAGTGAGACTTATGTATCCAGTCTCTTATATAGCTGTCTTGATAACATTACTATCAGTCTATCACTGATCGAGTCTTTCTCAGTTTCTAGAAACTTATTGCTAACATACCCATTGATAAAAATGTATATTTTACATTTGGTATCGACACATTAGATTGTGTATTTATCGTGTGATCAATCTCTGTCTTAATTTTACAAGTTTACACGTTTAAATTCTGTTTTGGTGCTTTTATGTATCATAAGGTCTTTCATTTTCTGAAATAGATGTGTCTTGTCTTCTCCTAAAGATATATATTTTGAATGCAAGTGAGACCCGTGTAACGAGTCTCGAGTTTATATGTTTTGCATTAGCCTTTGAATCTTTGGTGAGTATTCTAAAGATGAAAAAACACATCTTTGCAATTCTGGCATCTTCTTAATGGACAAGAAAAGAACATTTATTGTTGATTGTTAGTTTAAAATGGACAGTTTGAATTTCGATGTTAGTTTTGTATGTGTTAAGTGTCTAGTTAGCAAATTGTTTGCATTTTGGTTTGTTGTCTGATTGTTAATTATTTGTTATCAGCGATTGTGATATTTGCTTCTCTGTTATGGTTGGATGATATTCTTGAGATAGTTATTCGAGTTTGTTACCAGCGATTGTGATATTTGCTTCCCTGTTATAAGATATGTCTAGTGAGCATATTTTTTTGCATTTTGGTTTTATGTCTGATTGTTAATTCTTTGTTAGCAGCGATTGTGATATTTGCTTGCATGTTATGATTGGATGATACCATCTTGACTTTTGCCTTTTGATTCTTGAAATAGTTATTCGAGTTTGTAAGCAACGATTGTAATCTTTGCTTCCCTGTTATAAGATAAGTCTAGTGAACATATTTATTACATTTTGGTTCGTTGTCTGATTGTTAATTCTTTGTTAGCAGTGATTGTGATCTTTGCTTCCCAGTTGGATTATACCATTTTGACTTTTGCTTATTTATAATATTGTTAGTGCTGTAAATTTATTAACCTTCTTGGAAATATTTACATTCTTCTATGTTTATTTTAGATTATACCCAATTAAGGGTTCATCAATATCTGTGATTGTTTTGTGTAATACCCACTACGGCCACAATAGGCCTTGACTTTTTGTGGACCTTGTATGTTATAAAGTTATAAGTTTATAACCCATATATATAACTACTCATGTGAAACACTAGTGGCCTTTGTGGAAACTCTATTAAGTTAGTATAGTCAATTAGTCATGTTGTTGGATTATGAGCAAAACAAAAATAAAGATAATTGTTATAAGAAAACAAATCGGATTTCTCCTAAAAAAAATATTATTTTGACCATATTGTTAGAAATGATTTCCTTGAGTGGTAATGTACATTAGTGATTTTAGTATATAAACCACACTCAGTATATTATCCTACAAACTAAATTAAAATAACACTATAAATGGTGTAATCATACAATAACAAAATGAATCTTCAAAACTTTGTGTACCCTCTAATTCATCTAATGAATCTTCAAAAATAAGGATAATATGGTCAAAATAATAATTTTTGTAGGGAAAAATCCATTTGTTTTCTTATAACAATTATCTTTATTTTTGTTTTGCTCATAATCCAACAACATGACTAATCATACACTAACAAAATGAATCTTTAAAATTCAGCATACCCTCTAATTCTTCCCTCAATGGCCAAATCTATACCAAAACCAATTCAATCTTATCGCTTGCTACGTTTTTCTTCTTAACATTAGCCTTTGTAAATTCTCAAACCTTCTCAGAAGTCTTGTCGCCATCTTCCATAGGCCTAAAAAGAGAAACTAACCCATCTCACGACATATATGGTCGCCACCCTATGGCTGTAAAAGTGGCTGAAGCTGCCCAAACAAACACATCAAAAACATATTTTGGTTCCGTATTCGTTATGGACGATCCGATATAAGCTCGAAGAGAATAGGGTATGCGCACCGTATCCGCATCTCAAACCAAATTGGGATTGTTGATGATTTTCCATTTTGTGTTCGCCTAGGGAGAGTATAACGGAAGCACGATTAGCATTCTAGGACGTAACCTTATGTTTTCGGATATAAGGAAAATGCATGTGGTTGGAGGAAGTGGGGCGTTTCGATTCGCTAGAGGATATGCTGAGGGAAAGACTCATTCGTTAGATGTTAAGACAGGAAATGCTGTTCTTGAGTATAATGTATTTGTCTTGCATCATTGATATATAATACGATGAAAAACTATATTACATTTTTCATTTTTATTTCTCAATGGGATTATCAAAATGGTATATGATTTCTTTTCTTTTTTTTTTGAATTGAATTGAATGTCAAATTAATTCAAACAAAAAAAACGTTTTTTACAATGACTGTGGCTTTGTGGCTGAAAGTTTTATGAAAAAAATTAGATCAAAAGGAAAAAAAGAATAAAAAATTAGATCAAGACAATGGATCTCATGGATCGTTTTCTTAATAAAAAATTGTTCTCTTATGCTAGTAACTTGTAACACAAGTTGTAACGGATCGTTTTGAAGAACACACGATATATATTATTCCATACGATGAATTCTACATATATATAAATAAAGATTCAAGCTTCCCAAAAATAAACAAACAAAAATAAAAGACCTCACCACCATTTTTCATCCTAAACACTTTTTTTGAAGATGTCTTGTCCATTACCCAAGAATTCGATACCAATGTAAGCACATTAACACCTTAGACATATAAAGAAAGGCATTAACTTTACTTTTCTTCCAAGCAATCATGAAGCCAACGATACATTTTATTCCATAACGATGAATTCTACATATACCCATAAATAAAGATTCAAGCTTCCCAAAATAAACAAACAAAAATGGAAGACCTCACCACCATTTTTCATCCTAAACACTATCTTGAAGATCTGCCTCGTCCACCCAAGTATTCTTATTATGGAGAATGCATTATTTGTGAAAAACGGTTCTCTTTTGGGTCCGTTCGTTGTTATTGTCGTGTATGTGATTTCAAGTTTCATAGAGAATGCGCCAACGTATTGATGAAGTCGAATCTGACAATAAATCGTCCAGAGACACATGAGCACACGCTCACTTTTATTCGCCAAAAGAACTCTTTTAACTGTGATGCTTGTGGGAAAGTCGGTAAGTGGAAGATGAATACGTACGCATGTTTGCTATGCAACTTCTTTGTCCACAGAGAGTGTATCGATTTGCCAAAGGTCATAAAGCTCACTCGACACTCACACCGCTTGGTCCATACTTTTCAAGTTCTTGATTGGAACGAGAAATGCCGAATTTGTAATTCCGAGTTTGTTAGCGGATGTGGAGGATATATTTGTATCAACAAGACGTGCGGTTACAAACTCCATTCATATTGTGCTACGAGCAGGGAGAGATGGGATGGCAAAGAAGTCCAAGGAGAAGCTGAAGAAATTAGTAATCCTGAAGGTGTTGCATCGTTGGAGGAGGTCGATGGCAAAACGTTTCGCCATTTTAGTCATCAACATGACCTAACGAGACTTTGCGTAAACGATGATGATGAGGAAGATGGAGGAATAAGATGTGAAGCATGCGTCCTTCCCATTGAATTTGGTTGTTTCTTGGCTTGTAAAGAATGTGACTTTGCACTCCACGACGCTTGTGTGAGTCTTCCTCGTAACTTGGAACACACGTTACACCGCCATCAGCTAACCCTAGAGGTGAACAAGGAAGAAGGCTTTTTCAAAACCGAAAGAAGAGAAGGCTTCTTCATTTGTTATATATGTGGAAGAGAGTCATGCGGTTTCATGTACCGGTGCTACCAAAAAGAAAGTAAATTCGAAATGGATGCAACGTGTGCTTCTCTCACTGATCCGTTACACTATGGAGGGCATTCACACCCCATGACTCTATTAGACACGTATGCACATTGTTTCGAATGCGGATTCGTCGACTTGATGTTCCAAAAAGTAACTCTACCATCGGTGGTAAAATGCAAGTATGACACCCATCCGCTTACCATATGTTCTTCACACACAATCACGGAGGATGATAAATCGGCGTGGTGTGAAATCTGTGAAGTACAGATAATAAAGCAGTATGATGATCTCATGGATCTCTACGGCTGCACCATCTGCAACACCATTGTGCATGTTGAGTGCGCAATAGGGAAATATCCGTTTCTGAAACCTGGCCATACCATCAAAGTGAATGGTTTTGAGATTGAGATTGCATCCAACACTCTTTCTCGTCCGATTTGCCGTGCATGTCACTCTACCTGCCTAGACAAATTGGTTTTCAAGAATAAAACATATGCTGTCACTTTCTGTTATATCCGCTGTGTTACCTCTTCATCATCGAAAAGCAAGCCTACAATCTGAGTTAGATCAAGCCTCTTTTATGTCTTGAGTGCTTGCACAAAGAAAAGTTAAGCATATATTATAATTCTCGTCCTTGTATATATCTCGGGAAAACAGCCAAAACATACCCAAACTTCACTCATATGTTCGATTCATACCTCAACTTTACCACCGTCGAAATCCATACCCAAACTTACTTAAAATTTAAATTTCATACACAAACTTTCATATTTTTTGAATTTCATACATTTTCCGTGACGTGGACTCTTCTCCGTTAAAAATAAATTATGTGGCTAAATTCTCCGTTAATAACCCGTTAAATGTTGTCGTCGTGGATTAGGCGAAAACGTTTAAGATTAACGAAGGAGCTAAAACGACGTCGTTTTGTCGCTGCTAAATGAAACGATGTCGTTTTGTTCATCTTCTCCAACCCATCTAAAGTGCTGAAATTACACAATCGAGGGTTTTAGGCAGCAAAAATCGAGTAATCGAGAACTCTGAGATGTCTTCTTCAGCTAGTTCAGGTGAGTAATTCAAGATTTGTCTATTAGAGTAAGTTTGGGTAGATCTTTCCAATTGATTTTTGTGTTTTTATGGTGAAGGGGTGAGCAGCTTCAGATGCGACTCGAACAGAGCTTTGTTTGTCAATTCTTCGATTCCTCTGTTGTGAGATCAAAGGATTTAGAACAGAGATTTTGGGGAGTATTTTGTCTCTTCGTTGTCTGAGTTTTTCAAGAAGAACAGACGTCTGAAGATGTAAACAGAAAACGATGTCGTTTTCATCACCTCTCTCTAATTTCGACGATTTACAAAACGGCGTCGTATCTTGCGTGGCATCCACGTCATCACGATTTAACAGACTAGTTAAACAGTGACGGAAAATGTATGAAATTCAAAAAATATGAAAGTTTGTGTATGAAATTTAAATTTGAAGTAAGTTTGGGTATAGATTTCGACGGTGGTAAAGTTGAGGTATGAATCGAACATACGAGTGAAGTTTGGGTATGTTTTGGCCGTTTTCCCTATATATCTCATATCATGTGTTGGACTTTCTAGTTTCTTTCTTGTTAATAACGTACTGTCTGTTGTAACAAAAATGTAATAATAAAACGTAGGCATTGTATGTGCCTTATGATGTAAAATTATAAACAAAAGTGTATACTTTGCTTTCCGGCGTATGTCTCCACCTTCAACGTAATGGTTTCTCTTCTTCTTCATCCCTCCCACCAAAATGTTGTTGGCTTCCTTAAAATGTGGCCCAGCCGTCATCAAGATCCTGAGAAATACGTCATCAACCGTCATCAAGATCCCACCAAATTTGTGTTTAAGTCAATGGCATTGATACTGATCAAAGAAAGAGAAATGAGAAAAGACTTGTAGAAGAAACAAGATCCTTGTTTCTTAGCAAGTGCCCATTCTTCCTCCCTCTTTCTCTTCTTTAACACTGACTCAGGAACAACACTCTTGGCTTCTGCTTCACTAATTTCTGTGCATAACATAGCTAAATAACAAAAAAAAAAAAAAAAACAGGATTACATTATCGTCTTTAGTAGTATAACCAAAGTGTGTGAATTAATTACAGTGTAATTAGATCAAAGCACGAAAGCAGACATTTTTAGATAGCAAAAGCCAAAAGAGAAAAATGTACACCCTTTTGCATGAATACACTGAGTGAATATTTTTCATAATCAGGCACCACTATATAGGAGACTTTGGGCTTGATAAAACTGGTTTTAAGCTACAAAAATCAATACTTTCTATCAAAATGAATACTAGCATCATCCTCATCTCTGTTGTGAGCTTGAAACAAAACCCAGGGGAATGGTCTATAAGCCATAAATCAAGTTGCATTCTTTCACAGTAAATAAGATTCTAATGACATTTATCTTTTATAAACTAATCTTATTGCTCCTTGTTAGATCGCAGACGTTGTGTTTAAAAGCATAATCAGCAATCCACATTCGAGCTCTGTTTAGGCCAAACAGAGACAAAGCCAAAACACAATTTTTTTCTAAAACTAACAGCGTTTCCGCCGCCGAAATTGGTAACACGATTGATTTCTTGCAGCCTGAGACGTGGGAGAGAGAGAGAGAGAGAGAGAGAGAGAGAGAGAGAGAGAGAGAGAGAGAGAGATTGATAGGCAGAAGACTAACCGGCGATAACCAACTTCAGCTGTAGAACAGAGAGGAGGCGGGGAGTGGGAAGAGGGAGGAGCTAAATGAATACCCAAATTATTTTACTCCGGTAAACCGGATCCGGCGAGTAATTAGAGCTTCATTATTGTTTTTTTATGATTTCGCTTTTACCCTCATTTACAGTCATCTCTTTTTTGTACTCGGATGATTATTAGAAAAAAAATAGAGAAAATTGCCAAAATACTCCAAAAAAAGGCTTCCTTGTCCCATTACACTTTTGCATTTGATCTTTGTCCCAATACATTTTTTTTTGGCAATTTGTCCATTTTTAACCTTGAAATTGAGTTGATAATGTTTTTTTAGAAATTAAACATTTTTCGATTTAAAAAAATTAAAATTAAAATAAATAAAACAAATCAAAAATTAAAATTAAAATAAATAAAATTTCTAAAAGTCCTATAAATGATCTAAAGAATGTGTAAAATATTTGAATATTTTTAAAATTGTTTTGGATGGTTAGAAAATTCTTTGAAGTTTTGTTCTACAATTCTAAAATATCAAAGTATAAGCTACATAGATTTGAACCTTATTTATTTTAAAATAAATTAAAACATTTTCCATGAACCACAAGCTATATAGATTTGAACCATATTAGTTAAGAAAGGATAGAGAGATAGAGGACTACAAAGGAGGAAGGGGATGAAGAAGACGAGGAAGAACATGGAGGATTAGTCGTGGTATATTTTCGGATAGTTGGAGGAAAATAAGGAAACAAAGATTTGAAAAATATTTGGTTGCAATATTCTCTCGATTTTGGCAGAAGTTGAACTCTACAAAATGTAGAACTCACCTATTTAGTAGAACATCCAGTGGAAACACGATTACTGCGGATTGTAGAAGTCTTCTTTTTAGTAGATCACTGGTTCTACGCCATGCAGAAAAACATGAAATATGTAGTACACGAAAACTAGGACCGGTAGATAGCAGTGTTTACCATAGAATTTGAAATCTACGATTAGTAGCGGATGGTGTATTCTGTAGAATATATTTGGAGCGAATTCTACAAAATGGTAGAGTGTATTGTATATGGTAGATATCGAAGTCTAATCCGGAAGATGAATGAAGAAGTTGTAGATATCATATTCTACGGCGGTTAGATGTGCGAATATCTTGTAGAAAACGTATTCTGCTTTGATAATTTACTTTGTAGAACAAAAACTTCAAAGAATTTTCTAACCATCCAAAACATTTTAAAAAATGTTCAACTATTTTACACATTCTTGACATCATTTTTAGGAATTTTAGAAATTTTGTTCACTTAAAAAAATATTCATTATGAGGTTTTAACAATATTGAAGGCAATTAAGGCAAAAAATGGCCAAAGTCAAAAAAGGGTAAAGGACAACATGGCCTTTTTTGGGGTACTTTGCCAATTTCCCCAAAAAAATCTCTAACCAATTAGATGAGTAGATTGAAAAAAAAAAAAAAAAAATCTTCAATTTGAGAAAATTACTGGAATTTCTATCTACACTAACCGTAAACATTTCGCGGAAAAAAACTTACACAGCTTTTCGGAATAATTTCGCGGCAAAAGTTGAGAAAGAAGGAAAATAAAGGATTTGGGTGGCAAACATAAATAAAGATTGAAGAAACCCTAATGACCATAAGATCCAAAACCCGAAAGTTGGTTTTACTCTCTCTTCCCCAATCAATCAGTGTCTCTCTTCTCTCCAATCCCTCCCGCGCCGCTTCTCCTCTGGTTTTCTTCGCCGTCCGTCCTTCTTTCTACACCTTCCTTCCTTAGCTGAGGTAAGTTTAATTGGATCTCTCCTTCTTCTTCTTCTTATCTTATCGTCGATTAACAACGGAACAGTAGTAGATCGAAGATGTTCGCCTCTGATACCATAAACACTTGAAATTTCTATCGGTTTTCGAGCCTCTTTCTATCAAATTGATCTCAGATTTGTTATCTTGGTGTCTAAGGATTGATCTTTCTTGTTCTGGCATTGATTCTAAATCAATTGGAAAAAACTTGTGCTTGATAGCTGTGACTAGCTTGCTTACGTTTCTACCTGAAGAGAATATAACTAATCTTCATTCCAAAACCATAATTAACCCCATCTCGCTCTATCTGTCTGTTGCCGTTGTTGCTCTTCTTCGATTGGCTTCTTATAAGCAGAAATTAGTGTCTATATGATGTCTCCGTTGGCTGTATTTCTTGGTTTGAAAACTCTTATGGTATATATGCTAATCCAGTTGTATTATTGGCTTAGGACTTAGTTCTTGGTTTCATTCAATTGTGTGTTAGCTTCTTCTATTTCTTAAGCATCCAGTCATATCTTAGCACATATTCTAACTCAGTTTTATGTTGGTTGCTTGATGATTAAAGAGAATCAATGAGGGGAAGGAGCTACACTCCATCACCACCAAGAGGTGGATATGGAAGGAGAGGCCGGAGCCCTAGTCCCAGGGGCCGATATGGTGGAGGTCGTGACAGAGATCTCCCAACCAGTCTTTTGGTTCGCAACCTTCGTCATGATTGCAGGTTTATATTCTTTACTTCCTCTATGCCTTCATTCTCTTCTCGCTGATTCTGACTTTTGAGATTATTTGGACCGTATCTTTGCAATGCATTTGTGGCACCATCATAGATTGATAGATATGTTGGGTTTGGTGGATTTTTGTTTCGTGGTAGCAATATACAATGTAACATTTCTAGATAGCGCATGTATGGACTTTAATTGTCATATTTCCTTGCAATATACAATGAATCTGTTTCTTCTGAACTTTTGGGAGTTGCTAAATTGGTCTTCTCTGCTTACCCTACTCTATTTTCTCCAGGCAAGAGGATCTTAGGAGGCCATTTGAGCAATTCGGTCCTCTCAAGGACATCTACCTTCCAAGGGACTATTATACTGGGTGAGTATGCTCAATAAATATGCAATAAATATTTTGCTTTTGCTTCAATTTGATCGTATCTCTATCTCTATCTTTATCGTTTTCTTTTGCTTTGCAAACCACTTTTTTGAATCCTGTTTGTCTTCAAAACACTCCTCCAAGCGCAGCTCATGAATTCTTTGATTTATAAGAATTTTCTGAGATACCGTACATCTTTTTTATATCCGTATTTCTCATAAACGTTTTTATCTGTACTTTGCAGCCTTAGTTAGTATAGTACATCTAGAGCTTCGTACTCCTCTAGTCATTTTAGGGAAAGAATATAGTGATATGATCCATGTCCCATCACACTTGAAGTGTGTTAATTGAAGTTGTTGAGGTTTAACAGTGAATCTAAAGAATTGAAGAGACCAATGAAGTAATTAGAGTTCTTTGGAAGATGTTCTAAATGGTAGTGAAGGTTGGAAGGAAGTTGGGTTTGAATTCATTTTGAAGATGTATCAAGTCTTGAAGAAGTCATCTTTATACTGAAATTTGCAAGATTTGCAGGCAAGTGCTTGCTTTTTTCATGTTTATCATGATGGCTTCTGTTGCAGGAGACTGTAATAATCCCAACTTTTTGTTCAAAAGGCTTCTTGTCAAAGCGGTACATCTTCCTTGGTCAATGTGTGTATGGCTCCTAGTCTAATGATTTTTTCTTCTTGTTGGGTTTGTTGCAGAGATCCACGGGGGTTTGGTTTCATTCAATATGTAGACCCTGCTGATGCTGTTGAAGCAAAACATCACATGGATGGTTATCTTCTTCTTGGTCGTGAGTTGACTGTCGTGTTTGCCGAGGAAAACCGTAAGAAGCCAACTGAAATGAGAACAAGGGATCGCGGTGATCGCGGTGGAAGGTGAATTGAGCTAATTTGACACTTGAGAAGGATTAGTTTATCTACTTCCCGGAGAGAAAACTTGATCTCACTTTTGTATACTTTTCATGTTTGTAGGAGCAGCAACAGATTCAATGACAGAAGACGTTCTCCTCCTCGGTACTCTCGTTCTCCTCCTCCTCGCCGTGGTGGTAGAACGCGATCACGTAGCCGCGAGTATAACTCTCCTCCCCCTAAAAGACATCAATCTAGGTAGACTACTCTGCAAACCTGTTTGAATTTCTTAATGTTAGATGTCTTTACAGTTTTCTGATGGACTCTGTTTTATGGCAGGTCTGTGTCACCTCAGGATAGACGATACGAGAAGGAGAGGTCATACTCTCGCTCACCACCGCCTAATGGCTCAAGGGTTCGCAGTGGAAGTCCTGTAAAGGTGAAGAGCGGGAGCAGGAGCCGGAGCCCAAGAAGAAGCGTGAGCCCAAGAAGAAACAGGAGCTACACGCCTGAACCAGCCAGGAGCCCTATCCCTAGGCAGAGCAGGAGCCGGAGCCCAAGCCCTCGTGGAGAACGAAACGGAGACCGTTCTCCAAGCCAGTGATTTACTTCACACGCCTAATGTATCTCTCTACACTTCAGTGTTCTGCAGTCTTGTTTGTTATCTCTGCGTTATCAGATATTTGTTTGCCTCCTCTAGGCCTCTTCTAGACTGAAATCTCTCTTGCTTTTTAAGTCATTGTTTAGACAAGTTTTAAGACAGATCAATGTAGTGCTAATGACTCTGCTATTGCCATTTGCTTTATGTTTGATCTATGGATAATCTATCTTGAGACAAGACTTTGAAGTAGCATGTGCTTTTTTGTCATCTTACTCTCTATTTAGATCTCATCCAGCTTTGTTATAGTGAAAGATGGGCCTATTGGGAAACGAGGGAGCTTTTTGACGTAGGGCATCTTTTGGTTTTGAATCGGCCTTTCACACTTTCCAGCTATTTTCTTCTGTTTTCTTATTTTCAAAAGAAGAAAATAAGCTTTTGTGTCCGTCTTTCAAATAAATTGCCAAAAGTAACGGTTTTCAACTTTTTTAACTCCTTCTCTAATGTTTCCAAATTAATTATTTCAAGTGGTCAGATGGTATATGAGTGTTATTAACGGTATTTTGTACGTTTTATCATAAAATTTTGGCTTGAAATGGACTTGTACGAGTCTATTAAAATCTTAATCCGACAATAGTCTTGGTCCACGCAGGTTTCTGGAATACTTTTGAATTTTCAGTTTTCCAAGTAGAGCACGTAGTTTGGATCTTAAATGCACGGCGATGATGTCGATAATTATTTCTTTCTTCTACTTGAAGAAATTTGGAAACTTTAATTATTTATTTTGAAAAACAAAATACTAATAAGGACAAAATCTAAAAAAATATCAATTTTCAAAATATTGTACCTGACCACTAGTAACGAAAACCAATATGTAGTGATTCAAAGTTGTATCTGTGATATAAAAACAAAATGTGAAAAAAGAAAGATATTTGATAGTATAACTTTTCAATTTCTGGTGATGAAAGGAATCACCGAATCAATAATGTAATTAGAGCATCCAAGAAACATTTGAAAGTCATGCACATGAAATTAGCTTGGATGTTTCTTTTGATTCAAATTAATATTTAAATGAAAAATGGGAAAACCGAAAGAACATGAGAAGAGCGTGGAAACTAGTCTGCAGCTACTCAAAATCTTGTTTTCTTGTTTTTACATACTTAAATATTAGTTGTATCAAGAAGGTGAGATAATGTAGCCGTATATGTGTCAAGACTGTATACTTAATTAATAAACAGTACATGAAGAAATTTGGAAACTTTAATTATTTATTTTGAAAAACAAAATACTAATAAGGACAAAATCTAAAAAAATATCAATTTTCAAAATATTGTACCTGACCACTAGTAACGAAAACCAATATGTAGTGATTCAAAGTTGTATCTGTGATATAAAAACAAAATGTGAAAAAAGAAAGATATTTGATAGTATAACTTTTCAATTTCTGGTGATGAAAGGAATCACCGAATCAATAATGTAATTAGAGCATCCAAGAAACATTTGAAAGTCATGCACATGAAATTAGCTTGGATGTTTCTTTTGATTCAAATTAATATTTAAATGAAAAATGGGAAAACCGAAAGAACATGAGAAGAGCGTGGAAACTAGTCTGCAGCTACTCAAAATCTTGTTTTCTTGTTTTTACATACTTAAATATTAGTTGTATCAAGAAGGTGAGATAATGTAGCCGTATATGTGTCAAGACTGTATACTTAATTAATAAACAGTACATGAAGAAATTTGGAAACTTTAATTATTTATTTTGAAAAACAAAATACTAATAAGGACAAAATCTAAAAAAATATCAATTTTCAAAATATTGTACCTGACCACTAGTAACGAAAACCAATATGTAGTGATTCAAAGTTGTATCTGTGATATAAAAACAAAATGTGAAAAAAGAAAGATATTTGATAGTATAACTTTTCAATTTCTGGTGATGAAAGGAATCACCGAATCAATAATGTAATTAGAGCATCCAAGAAACATTTGAAAGTCATGCACATGAAATTAGCTTGGATGTTTCTTTTGATTCAAATTAATATTTAAATGAAAAATGGGAAAACCGAAAGAACATGAGAAGAGCGTGGAAACTAGTCTGCAGCTACTCAAAATCTTGTTTTCTTGTTTTTACATACTTAAATATTAGTTGTATCAAGAAGGTGAGATAATGTAGCCGTATATGTGTCAAGACTGTATACTTAATTAATAAACAGTACTAACTAGTTTATTATTTACATCTTTGAACTTTGAAGCCTCACCTTCAAGTTCAACAGACAGTCACACACACCTCTCTGGTTTCCCACGCATTAAAGTGAGATAAAAACCAAGTTAACTCAGTACAGCAATCTCTGAATTTCTTTATTTTTTCTTATTTTCTCCAATTTCGATAATTAATTTCGCCGAAAGAAAAGAAAAAGCCTTTACCTTTTTTTCTCTTCGGTGGGTTCATTACACTACACTACAAACATCTCTGAACTTGCTTTGCCCTGTTCTGTCTCAACAGCAAAACCTCGAGTTTTTTTTTTTCCTTTTCAATTATCCCTGAAGAATTGCCTCTCTGTGATTTGAATTCCCCCCGAGTGAATCTGGAAGCGGTCAAGCTCGAATTAAGTACTCGGTAAAAATTTCTTGATTTTGCATCTGAGTTTTTGATAATTGCTTATCGCATTGTGTCCGTACTCCGAACCAGCTTTCTCTTGCCTCTTCCACATTCTTCTTCACTCTGCAAATCCTGTTTCCAGAAAACATGTTTGAATGAACGAAACGACAAAAGAGTAATGGCTTTTCGAATGCTCAATAGGTTATTGTTTACTGTTTATCCCGTTGTGCTCTTAAAGCTCTAGACTCATTAGTATACTTGTGTCGGAAATTCCTCGGCTAACACCTAAAGTTGCTTACTTGATTTTACGGATCTTACCATATTTGACCAGTCCCACTTATAAACTCTCCTGAAAAAGAAAACCTAGTGCTTGCTGAATTAAGAGTAGTGAGAAATCTACAATCTATGTCATGTTTTGGCTTGAAATTGGTGTTACCGTCATTACCATATGACTCAATTTTAAAGTTTCCTGTAGGTTTAGGGTTTTCAAGCTCTCTGTTCCAATGCTGCTTCCAAGATGGTTTGCAGAAGCAATCTTGCTCCTAATTCCAATTCTTGCAACTACAAACGGTAAAACATTACATCACCTAATCACATTGCATCTCTAAATTTCTCTTCCAAAAGACTCTGAAATCCCTTTTTCCACAGCTGCATTCATCGGCGTAAACATCGGCACAGATCTCACCAACATGCCATCACCACCAGACATCGTAACCCTTCTCAAATCGCGACAAATCACACACGTCCGTCTCTACGACGCCAACAGCCACCTCCTCAAAGCCTTCGCCAACACAACCATCGAAGTAATGGTCGGTGTCACCAACGACGAGATCCTCAAAATCGGACGGTTCCCTTCAGCAGCAGCCTCATGGGTCAACAAGAACGTCGCTGCCTATATACCATCAACCAACATAACCGCCATCGCTGTCGGCAGCGAAGTCCTCACCACAACACCACACGTGGCTCCCATTCTCGCCTCTGCTCTCAACAACATCCACAAGGCACTCGTCGCTACAAACCTCAACTTCCAGGTCAAAGTCTCGTCCCCCATGTCTATGGACATAATGCCTAAACCTTTCCCTCCATCAACATCAACCTTTAGCCCGTCCTGGAACACGACTGTGTACCAGCTTCTCCAGTTTCTCAAGAACACTGGCTCCTTCTTCATGCTAAACGCGTATCCTTACTACGGCTACACGACCGCGAACGGGATCTTCCCGCTAGATTACGCGCTGTTCAAGCAGCTCTCTCCTGTGAAGCAGATTGTTGACCCAAACACGCTTCTGCATTACAACAGCATGTTCGACGCTATGGTTGACGCTGCTTACTACTCCATGGAAGCTCTGAATTTCTCGAAGATCCCCGTCGTCGTGACGGAGACAGGCTGGCCTTCTTCCGGTGGGAGCGACGAAGCAGCTGCGACGGTGGAGAACGCGGAGACGTTCAACGGTAATCTGATCAGCCGCGTGTTGAACAGCTCTGGACCTCCGAGTAAGCCAGACATGCCGATCAACACGTACATCTACGAGCTTTACAACGAGGACAAGCGGTCAGGACCGGTTAGCGAGAGAAACTGGGGGGTTTTGTTTCCGAACGGTACGTCGGTTTATCCACTGAGCTTGACCGGTGGTGGTGGTGGTGGTGGCGGTGAGTCCGCGGGTGTGAATGGTTCTGCTTCGTCGTTGTTGTTCTGCGTGGCGAAAGCGGATGCTGATGATGATAAGCTTGAAGATGGTTTGAATTGGGCTTGTGGTCAAGGTCGAGCTAACTGCGCAGCGATTCAACCGGGACAGTCGTGTTATCTTCCTAATGATGTCAAGAGCCATGCTTCGTTTGCTTTCAATGATTATTACCAGAAGATGAAGAGTGCTGGTGGGACTTGTGATTTTGATGGTACGGCCATCACTACGCCTAGAGATCCTAGTAAGTTTAAGTTCCCTCTTCTTCTTTAAATCAATATTTTCTATGTTTGTTTCATAAATCTCATATTTCGATTGCTTGTTGGTTTTCTGTAGGTTATAGAACATGCGCATATACGGGAAGGTAATGATTGTGAATTTTAAGTTTTTAAATCTTTTGAAAACGTGAATATGTTTTGACTCTTTGATTTGTTATCTATCTTTTAGTTCAAACGCAACGGACTTTCCTCCAGCGTTAGGACCTGTAAGTCCATTGGGAGGGAACGCAAACGCGCTTATCATCTCTATTTACCATCTTCCCTTCTCGGCACCGTTAGCTTTCACACTACTGCTACTACTGTTGCTCCAGCCTAACCGCCTTTTGTAGAACGTTTAAAACGCGGTTTTGTTGTAACCGGCGGCTTGGTTTGTCCGGTTACCGTTATTTATTGGTGTAGTGTAAGTGTAGCCAGGGGCGGATTCAGAAATATGTAATATGTTCAAAT